TCCTACCAAAAGAATGACTGTGGATTATTGCTCAGAAAGAAAAAACATATTCTTTCGGGACAATTAATAGAGAATATCAAAAGAATCAATACGATTTGGATGAATTTCACTTACGAAGAATGAACGACTATTCACACTTAACTCCAAATCATGTGGTTCACTAAATTTCTAAAAAAAACAAACATCATTAGGTTGCCAAGTAGCAATCAATTGACCGAAAGGTTTCAGATGAACACTATACGTACTTAGGGTATACCAAAAGTCTTTAAGAAGCTATATCAATTTCTTATAGAATGCTTGAAGAAATTTTCCTTTTATATACAATGATAGTAAAAACAAAACTCTACATTTCTGCACTATTTGATCATTAGTCATCCAATATAATAATAATAAAATGTCCATTAGATTTATTTAGCTATGATATGTAGCAATAATATTAGTCAATATTGTCTTCAATGTGAGTGTGGGTATAGATGCGATTGAGTGTGAGTGTCTGTGACTAAGTGTTGCGCTCACACGCGAAGCCCATACTCACACCTGCATCCACACCCGCACCCACCCACACACAGACATCTCACCCATAGCCACAACTACACCTCCACACCCACCCAAAACTAGGGCGTGGGTGGGTGTGGGTGTGGGTGTAGGTGCGGGTGTGTGGGTGTGGGTATGGGGTGTCGGTGTGGGTGTAGGTGTGAGTGTGTGGGCGCGTGTGTGCGTGCAGGTGTGGATGTGGGTGTCAGTGATCATAAGATTGATATCCGCACCCACACCCACCCTTAATACAGTTCGTAATATATGCATACGGAGTTGATACCGATGTCTAACTAATAAGTTATTACCACATATTTTCCATATTTTAACTAATGATTTAAAACTATATTCATGTTAGTTTACTAAATATTCTTCTAATACTTATTGCTTGAATGATTTTGTATATGTATCATGTGTCAACATATTAAAGAATTGTATACAGTGACGGAAAATGTAAATGATTCTTAAAAAAAGTTGTAGACGAAAACAATTGTTTTGTGATAGAGACGTACATCTATTTAAATCTCACTCGAATACAACTATGACTTATCTATATATACTTGCTTACCAGGCAAATATCCTACATTCTATAGTTATGTGTACTCTGTCAAATTTATTATTTGTACATAAAACAAAAGGAAAAAAACTAAGGATATAATCTCAATTTTCGTGAACTGTATATCTTCAAGAACATCCCGTCTTTCTCACATAAAGTGTCATACCAACGATTTCTCTCTTATTCGAGAAGAATGACTTGAAACAGAAGAAAAGAATAGAAAAAGAATTGAAGAATCTAATACATGACATAAGAGTCGACAAAGACAGAACAATACATATGATCATCCAAGAAAAACCAAACTATCTAACTAAAAATGTATGATGACCGATAGTCATAACAATAAACAGCTGAACTTGACATCTTCAATTTCAATTTCTATGCAATAGTCAATATGTGATAATCACGATTCTCATCTTGCACGAATGTACAAACAGCTGATAGTTGATAATAACAATGTGCTGATCGTAAAAGTTGCAATACTATAATATGGAATTGGATGACAATATGTGTGTATTTCTGTTGAATTATCAAATTGAATCCTTCTTTTGACACCACGTCTTATTGCTAAGAAGATACCGTTAAAAATAAATATGGATAGAATGAATATGATCATAATTATAATAATAATACAATTAATTGTCCAATATCGACATTTATATGCACGTGTTGAATTTGAATCATCGGTAAATTTTGTTAAACCGGCATGTCTATTCGATATAAGAATAAAAGATCATTACGTTTCAAAAATAAAATATCCAGAGAGATGAAATAAATACTTACAAGAGATACAAGACAACGAAAAGAACTAGACCTAAACTTGATGAACCCAAAATAACTAAACACCTAGGAATCCAGCGATTGATTGGACATTGATTTTGAAAATAAAGACCAATAGTAATTGCAACTAATGGTATTATTGAGAAAATTGATATTAAACTAAACCGATAAAAAATATTTTAGCATATATATATATATACAGGGTGGTCCAGAAGTAATCGGGCATAAAGGGCATCCTATAATAACTGACGATAAATTGTTAATAATATTTTTCATACTTTTTATTGATATAGAGAGCTGGAACTTTCAATAAATAAAGATCTTGATTAGATATATATGTGATAAAAATTTCAGCTCTCTACATCAATACAAAGTATGAAAAATATTATTAACAACTTATCATCAGTTATTATAGGATGTCCTTTATGCCCGGTTACTTCTGGACCACCCTATATATATATATATTGTCAACTCATGTTACTACTGACATGAAATATACAGTACAACATTTTGCGTTCACTTTCATTTGATTGGTGTTCTCTTCAAATTGTTCCATCGCTTCAATGTCTGTCGGTATTGGATCCATGGTTTCGTAAGTAAAATAATAAATCTATAAAAAATTAAATTGTACATTCAATATTATTCTTTTTTTTTATATTTGTCTCTACTATAGTGAACGATAGATAATCATGTGTGCATTGAGTACGAATGGTTGTTATTTCTCGTGACAACACGCTATATATTCTTCTTGATTAGATGTTTGTAACAACAAAAAAAAAAAAAAAGAAAAACAAGCCGATGGCATCGTCGTTCTGTTTCGTCTCCAAAGAAAAAAAATATTACGACGTCTACAAGGCCTTAACTAGTTCTTTTTTTCTTTCTTTAGTAAGCGACTATTCTTTAGTAATAGTGCGTGGAGAAGTTGTCTAGGTCGAGGCAAACTCAGACTGTTCTCCAGCTACGAACGCATTGTGAATAAATAGTTCCGAACACTTTTCTCGCACTATTTATAACGTGTTCTTAATGATGTTTGTTATCCCCACACTGAAAGCTCACTCTGATTGATTTCCATAGGACATGAGTGAATGAATTTTATACTCTGCATCTATCACTTAGCTAATGTTAAACTAAGACATAAATTTTTCACGTAAAATTTCCTCTCTTTTACAATTCTCTGAAGTAAAGAAGTCTTGTAATAGAAAACAATGAGAAAAAATATAAAAAAGTGAAAATATAGAATTTAAAATACAATAGTTCAAAAATTAAAGAAAATTTTTACAAAGAAAGATTCCGTGATGAATCAGCAAATAAGAAAAACGTTACTTGTTAGAAAAAACTGTTGAAATTATTGTCAGAGATGTGCACTGCCCCAAAAAATCGATCAGTGGCGACGGAAAATATGAGTTAAACTTTCAAATAGTGGCGGCGGTACGGATCGCTCCGTAAGCCTTTTTCACTGAGCGGAACGGCCGCACCATCCTTCGTTCAAAGGGTCGTACGGTGCGGTCGCTTCGCCGAGCGGCCGCTCAAGGCTTACTGAAGTTCTTTGTCATGATTTTTTTCGTAGGTTTATTACAACATTTTTTTAAAATGAATACTGCGTAATCTATTGATCTCGTAAGCTCATTTCAATGTAATCAATAAGTCTAGAAATAGATCGATGGGATAAGTTATCAGAAAGTAGCGCAACAATGGCATAGAAGCAAGGGGGAACAAGCGGACTTCTGTACTTCTTGTACTTCTTCGTAATTCTTCGTACTTTTCGGTACTTCGTACTTCGACAATGTATTAAATTTTTTTCACTTTTTTTTTATATAAACGCTAGTGCTATAGTATGTATTTTTAATAGTCATTTTAAATAACGCTTGAGCGCATATATAATATAAAGTCTTACAGAACAAAGACGAAAATAAAAACAAAGCGAATACAGCAAATGATAAACTAAAATGAGTAGAAATGTATTACACTTCTTTAAAAAATAATTTGAATCTTCTTTTATGAATCATCCGAGCTATATAAATTTCTAGATAACGACATAATGACTAATGAAAAAGGAGAAAACATACGTGAGAAACTTTTAAAAAAATTAAGTATACAAATATATTAAAACTTGTTTCAGTAAGAAGGGTGGGTGTGGATGTGGGTGTGGATGTGGGTGTGGGTAGGTGTGGGTGGGGTGGGTGTGGGGTGTGGGTGTGGGATGTGGGTGTGGGTTGGTGTGGGTGTGGATGTGGGTGTGGGTGTTACTATTGTCATTCACACCCACACCCACACCCATACCCACCCACATCCACACCCACACCAACCCACACTCATACCCACACCCTCACACTCACCCAAAAACAGAAATATCTATTTCTAATTCAGGCAGTTATTCTCCATTAAACATCATTTTATCGGTATCACAAATGAAAAATGAACATCATGACAAAACTAGACAAAAATTTATATGGTCATTATAGCTCATTTGACAGGTGCTATGTTGATTGTGACACTATCAATCACATAATCACTATGAAATGATGTATTTTCTGCTTTCATTAAAATGTATTGCTTGATCTGAGTACCGACGTTCTGTAATCTAACAAAAGATATATTTATTTCTTTATTTTAGATTAGTTTTTTCTATTAGATTAAATAAATATAAATTAGTATTTTAATTACATTTATTTTCTGTTTTAGATCATATTAATCATCATAGGAGATCATACAGTAAATTCTTATATCGTCTTGTCAGAATCATATAAGATCTAACAGTCGGGATTGTTTGATTGATCTTGAGTGCACATTTCACTGAAAAATATTACTTATTTCTTTTATTAAGAACTAACTTTTCATTGTGGTTAAATAATTGTATTCATTATAGATTTTTACAAAGTCTCTATTATCAAAAAACAATTCCCTTTGAATAATTATATCTAGGACAATTTAAGCTCGAAACTTCAGATGAATTCTTTTGACAGGAATTGATCTTATATCTACAGTTCTTTTGATCAGTTTATCAGAATTTTTGAATTTGAATTTCTATAAATCCAGACAGAATATATACATGAGAAATAATAAAAATTTTTCAAAAATCGTTTTATTAATTTATTTTGATAAAAAAACGTTTAAAAAAAAATTAATTTGTTTATTCTTCATCAGCTATTTTAAGAATTAATTTTCCTTGTGCTTTTCCACTTTTAGATTTCTCATAAATTGAATATAAAGCTTCAACACCATCTTTTCTCCAATCAAATATTGTATCAATTAAAGGTTTAACTTTTCCTGTTTCAATATATTTTGTTCGAATATCATCAAGATCTTGAAAATTTTCATATAATACATGACGTATATAATTATGATGAACTGAACCAAAAACAGACCAAAATTTTCTATTTAGTATACTCAAACCAGCTGTAACCAATGTTTTTAATGAAATAATAGATGAAATATCATCACCAACAATAGTAATGAATTGACCACCTCGTTTCAATATTTTTTGTGCTGATATCCATTGTTGTTCACCACCAACACAATCATATACAATATCATAATTTTGATCTGAAGATAAAAAATAAATAATAAAATAAAATAATTATTTAAATATATTTACCTTTAAGTTCTTCTCCAAAATCTTTTTCATTATAATCAATAATATGTAATTGATTTTGATCATTATTTATCTCAATATTTGTTTGTGTTATTGTATATCCTAGAAAGAATAAATAAAAATAAAAATAAAACAAATTCTATAGAATAGATAATAGAATACAAACCAAGTTTTTCCATTAGACTAAAATTTCTTTGTGAACATGTTGCAGTAACATAAGCACCAACTGCTTTAGCTAATTGAATTGCATATAAACCAGTTGCTGTACTACCACCACAGATTAATATTTTACTTGTTGGTCCAATAGGAGGTGAAACTTTTTTAAATAATGCTTGATAACTAGTGTCACATGCTAAAGGTATAGCAGCTGCTTCTTCCATTGTTAAATTATTTGGTTTTAATGTAAAAACTGATTCATCACCACGAACATATTCAGCATAACTACCACCATGAATTGTAAGATCTCCATAAACTTTATCACCAATTCGAAGACGTTTTACACCTGAACCAATATCAACAACAACACCAGCAACATCAGTACCTGGTGTATGAGGAAATGAATATCGAGTAACAAGTGATAATCTTCCATTTAATACTTTCCAATCGACTGGATTTATTGCAGCAGCATAAACTCGAACAAGAATTTGTTTAGATGATAATTGACGAGGCACAGAGACATTCTCACTGAGCGTCAGAACATCACGTATTTCTCCAAAACCACTTTGTTGAGCAGCTTTCATCACAGAAGGAATATAAATATCATTATTTGTTTTATTAGTAGTTGCTTCAGCCATATTAATAAAATGAAATCTTAAACAAAAAAATAACATCAAATACAATATCTTAGGTATAAAATTGATAAGATTCATTTCGAAGCTTTTAACAATTAACATTCTTGTATAATTCGAGTCTATTAAAAATGATAAAGTTTAGTGGTCTACAAATAAAATAAGACATCACTTTATCAAATTTACATGATGCAGATGTCTATGAATCAACGTGAAAAAAGGTGAAAACTTTATCTAATTCACATAAAGTTCGAAGTACGAGTGCAGTCGTAATTTTTCTCTCGTTCTGTTACTTCATATGACAAACAAATATTTAATAGAAGAAAAAAAGTCACCAACAATGATGATGAAGAAGGATTATTGTTTTCCTACTTAATAACGAAAAAAAAACTCGAACTTTTGATGATGATCAATTGAGTTATGAGGAAATCATCGACGAACAAGAATAATAACGAAAGGTTATTTTTGTTTTTGTATTAAAACGTACTAATATGTAAAAGTAATGAACAGATATTATTAACATGTTGATTATTTGTTATATATTTCGATTTGTAACCTAATGCAGATCGAATCTGAAGTTCATTTTATATACATAGACCTGGGTCCAGATCTGGAATCATTCGCATCTCTCTATTTCTCAGGACCATGTGCGATGGTGTTTTTTCATCTTTGACACGCGAGAGACCTACAGACAAACATGTTTCACTTTTTTCACATCACCTTTCCTTCAATCGAGAGAATAATATTATGGTTTTATCTTCAAATTGACTTACTAGTTTTCAATAATTGATTATCTATATACTAGGCAACATTTTTATATCATGAATCTGTCGTCCAACTTTTATTATACAATTGTATAAATACTTTGCATTCAGAATACAGAACATGTTCATTTTGAACTGTCTTGAAGATAAGAGTGAGAATAATTGATTGATTGATAGTTTATAGTATTTCGTATACTCACATCCTTCCTTGTTTATTTATATAATTGAGTATTATATAATAATATATTCAACATAAAACAAAAGAGAAAAACACACAAAACTTCAAAGTTTAAAAGTCATAAAATGATACGTGACAACCGATACAATATTCATAATATCAGTTTAGTCCGATGATAATGTCAACAGGATTAACTGTCGAGCTAATGTCATACCAATCCATAGTGATCAGATTAAATATGCTCGTTGTATGATTAGTCAAAAATTCCTGAAATACCGAATTAGTTTCTAATGCTAGTTGTTTTAGCAACATTGTGGATACATTTACATTGAGATGATTCACTACATTTTGAATAATATCCATGATCTGTGGTGTCTGTGTCCAACTAATTTGATACATGGATTTCTTGTTTTTCTCCAATCCTTCATATTCGAGTTTTATTAATTCTGCAATGCTATTGACGCCATTAGAATTGAATGTCCATCTTCCAGAATCTGCAAATCCTCTAGTATTCACAACTGTATCGTTGCAATAGTAATCATCGGCGTTGTCAATGTTGAGAACGATGACCTTCGGTGTTGCCCTATGTAACCTAGTAGTAGTAATGGAAAAAAGGGTCATATCTTTCAGACTCTGAAAGTCAAAATTCTTGACTCCAACGGAATTCGCAGGCATATAGAGATATGATTTGAGATTATTTTGAATGATTGTCGCCAATTTAGCTGGAAGGATTCCAGGATCAATACCAAAAGTGGTATGAGAAATAGAAAGAAAAATTAATTCACCCGATATAGAATGAGTATCGAGGAAACTTTTAACTTGATAGAGTACATCATTCAGCTCAGGACCACGAAGACCATGCTGAATATAGAAGGATCCATCTGTATCATAGTAAATCCGCAAGTCAAAAAAGCGTATACCGTCATCAAGTTGCTGTCGAATGGTTCGATTCTGTGAAATAGATATTCGAAGCGCAGTTTGAAGAATAGTCTAACAAGATGTGACCAACGTAAATTCCACAGAAATTTGATATTTCCATAGATGATTTGAGATAATTTTCGTGTTAGACCATATGATCCAGAATTGTGAGTTCCAGGAATTTTTAGCTGTGAAAGTGTCTTCGACTGGATTTTTGAAGTTGACATCCAGCGACTGTAATGCGCTTCTGTTTGTTCCATTTTATAAATATTCTCAGGAAACGTTCTATTAGAGAACGATCTCATATTGAATATATCCTGAATCAATGTTGTATTTATAAAATTACCAAACGCGATGTTTCAATTTGTCAACGATAATGCTATTGTATTTCATGTTAAGTGTACTTGCTAGATGGTAAGGCGTATCAATAAGCTTGTACCATGTAGAGAAGAATGTTTTTAAGAGCATTAATAAGTCGTCATTGATACTGAAATTTTGAATAGAGAACGCCAATCGTGCCACTATACAAGAGAAACCTTGATGATCACTAATGTTGATTGTTGCTTGCATCAACATGGAAGCGGCATCGAGAGTTGCATTAAAATTCATACTCACGTCATGATACATTATAGAAGCAAAGATCTTGCCATTTAAGTTGAAGATCATATTGATGTGCCACTGTTGATTGTTTTCTTGGTAATGAGCTGGCGATAGTGCAGCATAACTGCAATAGATAGATTGTGGAGTTAGATTAAGTTTTTTTATGGTTAATTTTATAGCAGCATTGAGATCAAATGAGAGTGAATTAGTTGACACATACGCGACAATAGCTGGAAGATTAGCAGCAATAAAGCTATTAATCAAGGGTGGCAAGACTCCAGGACCACCGAAAAAGTAGAATGTGTAATCGATATCTTTGCTAAATAGTTTGGTCGGAGCAAGTAGTGCTCCTATGTGACCTTCTGGTCCGGAGAAATGCACAGTGGTAACGTAAGTTCTCTGCCCCTTATTTACCATCATCGTGTTGGATCCACAAGCGATGTCGAAATACGACTGGGATATTCCGGTCCCACTACTAATATATGACACGGAACTTGTTCTACCTGCTCCAATCGTTTGGCTAGGAAATGTATTTTTCATATTCATATTTATTGATGTCGTTGATATCAATGGCTGCGAGTAGTCATTGGTGACTGTCATATATGCATTTGTCGGTTGTGTCATCGTCATCTTCACCATATTTTCTATTCGTCTATGAGTTTCTATATTTAGGAAAAACAAGTCATTGATTCAATAGTGTTGAACTATTTTAAATGTTAAAAGGTATCAATAGCAAAAATTTTGATAAAAAAATGAAACAAAAGTAAACCAATTCCTTCGTTGTTTTTACCTGGCAAACATGAATGCCCATAGAATGCAAATTCCGAATAGTGTACTCCACTTTCAACTCCTCG